GTTTCTGAAAAACAGAGAAATGCTAGAACAGTTACATAAACAAGAACTTGAGAGTTGCCGAAAGAAACATTCTGAGGAACTGACAAGTTTTGAGGATGTTGTGAGTGTTCTCCGCGATGAGAAGAAACAATTGGAAGGCTTCTTTGAGAAGGAGAAGGTTGAGATTGGCCAACAGTTTGCTGCAGAGAAAGCTGAAATTGAACAGGTATACCCCCCGGTCTTTTACTGTAGACTTAGTTAATAGTAGGTTAAGCAGGGGGAGGGGGGTAGTCAAGTGAAATTTCAGTGACGGGTTAGCAGATGGTGGTCAAAAGAAGGCACTTTTCTATTCAGCAAGAAAATTAAGCTACATCTTTCAATTGTATTTATTCGCCACCAAATACAAGACTACTTCATACAATGAAAAGAATTAACGTAATTTGTTCACTCTGATAACTGCAGATTGACCACCATCTGCTGATAGCGCTCTAGTGAAACTGTACAATGCGTTCAGTTCTTAATAATGAAGTATTGTTGCAGGAAAAAACTGAAATTGAGATGAGACTTTCAGCAGAGCTTGAACGCGAAAGGCAGCGCTTTGTTAAGGAGAAAACAAACTCCACTTCAGACTATCAGGAACTTAAGAATGCCTTAGAGGACGAATTTATACGGGACAAAACTAATTTAGAGACAAATTTTGCGCGGGAAAAGCTGGAACTTGAGCAGGCTGTCGAAGAATTACGACAAATATTTATAAATGGAAAAACGGGTTTGAAAGGAAAATTAAAAGAAGATTTTGTACATTTGCTTTCTGAACATAAAACATTGCTTGATAATCATAATGTTCGTTATCAAGACGAGATTCAGATCTTGAGAGAACAAGAACTAGAACTAGCTGAAAAACTTACTGAAAAAGACCAACATATTGACATTTTACAAGACCAGATTACATTATTGAATAATGAAAACTCTCAGCTCAAAGAGATGCAACAAGCTGACCGAGATGACGTCACTGATCTTGAGAAGACTAGGCACGAGATTGAAGAACTTCATCTTGATTTATTGAACAGAAGAAATGAGAAAGTTATCCTGGCTGAGAAGGTTGGTTTCAAATATGGAAAATTCATTCATGATCAAAACAAACTTGACAAAGTCAGTCACGTTGACAATAATGATAAATCATTAAATTGTAAAACCAAATATAATTTTAAAATGTAAAATGAATAATGAAATAAACAGAAAATACTAAATATAAATATGATGAAATTATAAATATCTTAAAATCCAGAATGTTATCTAAACCATTGTTCTGATCGAAATCTTAAAGACTACATTTTAAAATATTGGATTATAATATCATACAATTTTAAAATAAAATGTATTTTTACAATAAAATGTATTTTTACAATTAAATGTGATGTGTTCTAATGATAATATTTTAGTTTAACATTATTAATCTTTAAATAATGTAGTGCAGTTGTTAATATTAACTTATCAGAGTAAATGAATCTAATTTCCATTTTAAATATAGACGAGCATATACTAACAATGTAAATAGGCTAGTATAAGTAGTATTCTGCAATAAGCTGTCAAGGTTTGTGACTTTGTGTCTGAACTACCTGAAAAAAGATATCTCAAATGTGGTGGTCCCGTGTAGGTAGTATTCTACAATAAGCTGCCGTGGTTTATGTCTGAACTACCTGAAAAAGATCTCAAATGTGGTGGTCTAATGTAGGTAGTATTCTACAATAAGCTGCCGTGGTTTATATCTGAACTACCCGAAAAAGATATCTCAAACGTGGTGGTCTAATGTAGGTAGTATTGCATGAACAATAAGCTGTCATGCATGGATGTCATGTCTCAGTCTATAACAAATGTTTCTTTTCATGCAGACGAGAAAAGATCTTTATTCATTGGAACGTACGGTGGAGGAAATGGAGAAAGAAAGAAAGTTGTTAGAAAACTCTTTATGTCAACAAAACATCAAGAACACCAGTCTACAAGATGAAATTACTGACTTGAAACGACGGAAAGTAAATGTGGAAAATAGATTTAAAAGTGAACTTGAAGCCGAGAAACAAAAGGTAATTCTTGATCTTTGTTGATCAATGAGCATTTCCTTTGCATGCAAGATGAACAAATGAAAACATTTTACAAAAACAGACAGATGTGTATCTATACGGACGATAAATCAAACTTTGCTTGCCCATTAAAACTTTATATTCTCAATCTATTCTGTTTGTTTTCAGGTGAACTTGGTCCGTACAGAGATGAGCACGGCTAAATCAAAATATACCAGAGACGTAGCTGAACTCCGTGAAAAACTGGAGCGAGCTTTGAGTAATAGCGAACGAGACCAAACTGCCAGGGACAAAATACTGAATGATGCCAAAGTGGAAATATTAACTCTTAGTAAGAAGGTGGGTTTTACAGTAGAATATCGAACTGTCTGTACCAGTGTAGGTAGTGGCAATTTAATAAGAAAGCTTCAGATTGATAGGGATACAACTACCTGAAAAATACAAGGAGAACTTCGACGTTTCGAGCGAATTCGAAGACCCTTCGCAGCGAAGGTAATAGCGTGGGTACTAGGTTGGACCCTTCGTTGCCCGAAACGTTGAAGTTTTCCTTGGCTTTTACAATAGTGAAGTACATGGGGAGGATCTCTTGTTCTTTTCTGACTTTGTTATTCTTTTTCAGCTTGAAGAAAAAGCCAAGCGATGTCGAGATTTACAGGACGAAAGACTAGTATGGGAGGAGAGGGTAAGGATGTTAGATCGTCAAAGACGTGAGATGGAGCTTCGAGTTAAGAAAACGCACGACTCTGTTGATGATCACGTGACGCAACTTACTAAACAGGTATAAAAATTAACACGTCCTTAATTGCTATTGTTCTTCCGAAATGTATCAATATATGCAGCACGTGCTGGCGACGTTTGCAGCTGTGAAAAAAAGTACAAAAAAATTCGTGCAAAATGCCTTGGTTGGGAAATGAATAATTGAATGTCAGTTGAACAAACGAGATAAAATGAACTCTGCGCATGCGCGCGAAATATGCACGACACAATAAGAAGCATATCAGTACAGTGGTATATTTACTTCTTGAGCAAATAAAAATATGCACGACACAATAAGGATATCAGTACAGTGGTATATTTACTTCTTGAGCAAATAAAAATATACACGACACAATAACAAGCATATCAGTACAGTGGTATATTTACTTCTCGAGCATATAAAGAATTGCCTGTGTTCGTATCTTGAGAGAAATTTTTTTTGAAACGAAGAGACGACAGGTTTGTATCGATTTCGATCTCATTTGCGTTGAGTGACATTTATAATGTATTTTCAATTTTTCACGTTGAGTGACTTTTATAATAATTTTTTTCGTTGAGTGACTTTAATAATGTATTTTCATTTTTTTTTGTTGAGCGATTTTTATATGTATTTTATTTTTACGTTGTTTGACAGTTATATAGTATAGTTTTACAATTTCTGCAATCCTTTTTACGACCAGAAACTGCACTGTTCTACGTGTTAAACCTTTCTCCCAAGTTAAACACAAGTGTAAACTAAACATAACACGTTTTTCCTTTGCTTAGCTGGAAGAAAGCCGAGCACGAAGCATACGTACAGACACGTTAGTTCAAGAACTGTATATCGAAAATGCTCAACTCACAAAATCACTCCAGGAAACTGAAGCTGCACAGAAAAAAGTAGAAAAAAGTAACAGACAACTCGTGGAACAAAAACGAGCTTTACAGAGAGTTATTTCAAAACTCTGTGGCGCTAATGCTCTGGCTTAAACTTTCACTCGCGATAGAACATAACTAAGTGAAAATATGTTTCACAACGTACTGTAGTGCAGCAGATGCTTGTCAAGGCGTGAGAAGAAAATGCTAATTTTTCCTTGTCGTACAGCAGGGCGTAGAAATAAGGCGAACTTATATATCAACATCACTGACCAAGATTGCTGTGTTTGCATCAATTATGATGTCACATCGTACTGATACAATATGCATACTTTATATTTTTATACTTTCTTTTGTATATAAACCATAAATATAACTTATATATTATGTATATAGAATACTATAGTCTTGTTTGCATATGAATCAGTCGCGAAGCTATCCATAGTAACAGCCATAGATATCTTATATACACTAGATAGCGCATCTCTTTTAATAAAATTGAAGCCAAGAATATTCCAGCGGTTACCCCCATTTGAATAGATGGCGGCCATGTTGGTCGTTCCCACTTGCTAATAAACGCTTAAAAACAACAATAACTTTCATCATTTGAATACTTTAAAAATGTATTTGGAATAGGGTTAACTTAATATTTAAGTTCCCTGTTTACGAAATCGGAAATATACGAATCTTCTCTCATTTCATGGGAACGACCTGAGACTGCAATCACGGCTTCAATTTTTGAATTGCAGAATAATTAGATGCACTATCTAGTGTATATAAGATATCTATGGTAACAGCTCATGCTATGCAAATTTTTAAATGTTTTGTCTTTAATCTATTTCGATGCAGATTTATTAGCATAGCATGACCAGTTTCCATGGCTAGCTCGCCGCTGTTATAAATAATGTAAAAATTTATGTTGTAGGAAGTATATATATTTAGATAAACTATTAAAATAAATTAGCTTTGGCTATAGATGGGGTTGCCTTTCACATTTATATTAGAATTTCTTACTTTTAGGGGAGGTGTTTATTTAATAGACATCCTTTTTCAAGTGGAGGCGTTTATTAGATTTTCTTTCTATTCGCGGAGGCTTAAGTGATTTTACCCAACCAAGACGCTGTGACACATTTGTAAAAGTGTGACAACATGCCACAACATAAAATTCGTTCATGTGGCGGAAACATTTTCGGTTTTCTTTCTAACTCCATATCTGTCCTTTGTTTATATTAAGTCAACTGGTACTTGAAAATTGTAAGATAAATAGTGAAAACAACGCTTATGATTTTGGAGTGAAACCTTGATTGTTTGTGTGCTCACTATGGCTATTGTGTGATATATTATGAACAAACTTTTTAAAGACTTTCACTTCTTCAAATTATGGAATGTCGCAGATATAATTCTGTGAATGCTTTTATCGAGAAGACTCGTGTTTTGTCTTTGAAACTTTGACGGCTTGCAGTGGTTTATTGTTTAACCACGAGTCAATGTGGTTGGTTGTTTTGAATTCTTGCGAACCAATCATATTTGATATTTGTGCGTGGTTTGGACAGTTGTGGGATGAGACGAAGTTTGCATTCTCCCACTTGTTGCTTAGTGAGTATAACAAGTTAAACACTTGTGATCCAGGTAAGACACAGCGACGGTGTTGAGAGCTCTCACGAGTAATCCAACCTACGAATCTTTGCGTTGTTGAGTTGAATCGGTTATTGATTGGTCTTAGATTGTTTCAACCTTATCTTACCATGGAGTTCATCAGAGCAACGTAGTATTCTGTCTTACTACGGGAATCTCAATTATTTCCCTTTGGTTTAATTGGCACTACAGTTCCCTACATCTTCGCGAGAAAAGCAAGTGAAGCGAACGGGTGTGATTGTTGCCGGAATCGAAGTTTCTTCATATTTCTTGGTGAACTCAATTTCCGTTTTGTTAATTGACATCAAAGTTTTCCCGGGATGTTTTACTCATCGCGAAGAGGCACGTCGTCAGCAACGCGAAAACAAACATCGTTCGCTTCGAAAACAACATCGAGTAAACACGAAGACGGCAATAAGAGTGGGAATGAGACAGACTGTGGTTCAGCTGAACTTTTGGATATTTCCACATCCAGAGAAGATTTGTCTCCCAGTAGATGTAGCTGTCAATCCGGGGGGAGTAATGTTGCTGTCAGGAATGAAGCCAGGGAAGCGAGCGGTGAACAATTCTGGAGTGGAAATTTAAGGTAAGGATTATTGGTAGGTTTCACAAAGCATTATACCGTGTTTGAGATATCTTTTTCAAGTAGTTCAGACACAAATTATTGTAGAATACTACTTAAAATTGGACTACCACGTTTGAGATATCTTTTTCAAGTAGTTCAGACACAAACCACGACAGCTTATATTGTAGTTTGTAGAATACTACTTACACTGGACCACCACGTTTCAGATATCTTTTTCAAGTAGTTCAGACACAAACCACCGCAGCTTATTGTAGAATACTACCTACACTGGACCACTACGTTTGAGATATCTTTTTCAGGTAGTTCAGACACAAGCCACAACAGCTTATTGTAGAATACCACCTACATTGGACCACCGCATTTGAGATACCTTTTTCAGGTAGTTCAGACACAAACCACGACAGCTTATTGTAGAATACTAACGTATTTTTCTCTCAGACTTGAATTCGACAACAATGGCGGCAGTGATGACGAACAACTCAAGGATGAACTACTTCGAATATTTGACCGTGAAAGACTGGGTCTGGAAAGTTATTTCAAACAGAAAACAGAGAACATATTGGCAGGATATCGCCGTAAGCAGTACGACTGGGAGGAGAAAGTGAGATTAGAAAGGATGGAATATGAAAAGACTTTGGCGCAGGAAAAAACTGAGGTTTGTACTCTTATGCAGATTCTCATTGGCATATCTCATTGTTTAGACTGGTCGGTTTACACTATCAAAGTTTCTGTGATTACAGTATAGGGATTTTGCAATTGGTAAATTTTAAGTTTTAAAGGATTTGTGAGAAATGTTTGAGTGGACTGAATCAGTATTAATTAAGAAATCGTGCAACTTGATCTTATGCTTACACCAAAGACAAATTTTTCAAGCCATTGTTTTATGTCTACTTGATCAAATTCCTTGACTTTTATGTAAAGGTTCAACAAAGCTACATCAGTGAAATGACGAACCTCACAAAACAATTTAACCAAGAACGAGTCGAGTTAGAAAGTCATTACAAAAAACAGATTCAGGAGTTATCCCAACAGTTTGAACTGAGGAAGAAAGAAATGGACGCCACTATTCTGAAAGAGAGAACTGAGTTGAAAGAAAGATTAGAACTCGAGTATCAGGCCATGTTAAAATCTCAGAAAGCTGCAGAGGAACAGAGGTGAGATATGTTGTTTTGTATTTCCGTAGCTCAAGTAATATGTCGTGAGCACTTGGTTTTGTTAGTGTTTGGCAAGTTTTTAGCTCGCTAGTTGTTTGTTTTGCTGGCTGCACAAGCTTTATCTAATCCATTGGTATTTTCCAAGATATCACCTGCAAATCTCAGAAACGGAAGAAAGCTACAAGAAGAAAATTGTTGAACTTGAGCAAAAGTTAAAGGATTCCTTCTCCGAGGGTGAATTATCCGGTCGGAGATTGCAGTCTGATCTCGAGGCAAAGTTTGAGCGCGAAAAATCACTCGTTATTGTTGAGTGGAGAAAGAGAGTGGAACTGCTTGAAGTCGAGTTGGGAAAAGAGAAAGTAAGAGCGAATCAAGAGGAAAGAAAAGCTTGTGAGTCTGTTGGCTTTCTGAGAAATGAGATTTCCAAGAAAGATGTCGAGCTTGAGAAACTACGCCAGGTAAAATTTCGTTGTTCAATTCATTTTTTTATATTTATCACCAAACACAAATACTACAGATAACAGTCAGATTAACCTCCTGCACGACAGTGCAACAAACCACGACCATGTTCTAAATAGAATTCTTAATTTGCTCACGCGTTTATTTCACAGGTTGTGGAGACGTTGAAATTGGGACTGTCGCAGAAGGAGAAAACTGCAAAAGAACATGAAATGTTGCAGCAAAATATCTTCCTACGGGGAAGTGATGCACTTCCTGGCAAGCTTCGAGAGGATTTTGAGAAAATGTTGGCCGCACATCGCGAGGAGCTGGTAAGGAACTTTCGTAAGGAACGAGAGGGACTGGAAACTGAACGTGAGGCACGGTTAGTTCTGGAACGAGAAACGATGGAAAAGCAACTTAAAGTGGAACGAGAAAGATTGAATTTGGATTTAGAAAAAGAACGTTCAGAAATGAGGCACGCCAGTCGAGAGAAAGAAGATCGAGTCCGTCACGAAGTTCGAGAAGAGATGGAGAGAATGCGAGGTACGTTGGAAAGTGAGAAAGTGTTGTTGAGAGAGCAACTCACAAAGGAAAAGGATGAAGCGTTAGTGAAGGAGAAACAAGCAAGAGTCGTTGAGGTAGCAAGAGAGAAAGAGATTCTCACAGAACAAGTCAGGGCGGAGGTCATGAAAGAAAAACAGGAGATGATTTTGAAGGAGAAGGAAGAATTAAGAGAGAAAATCCGAACTGAATTGATGAATGAGAAACAAGCAAGAAACGACGAACAACACTCAAGGTTCGATTCTCTGGAGCAACAAAGGAATAAAGGTTTAATGAAAGAGAAAGATTTGAGAGAAAAATTGCCAGGAAAAAGTGAAGAAGAATTTGAAGCAAATTTCGAGGGAATTAAAAGTCAGCAAGGACGAGATCAGGTCATGGTGCGAGGTGACCAAGGACTGGGGCAGAATCACGTGAGATTTGAAGCTGAAGAAGCTGAGAGACGACGAAATGGCCTGGGGCGAACTGAATACGAAGTATGGCTCGCTGGCCAGAGAATGCAGCACACTAAACAGTGGGTTGAAGGACAGTATAGGTTTGCCAGTGATGCTCAGGGATATATGGGGAACTCTGCAGAGGATGTACAGGGTAAAAATGGTTTGGATAGATATGGGGGTAATCGAGGTGAAGATGGAAGTGACAGCGAAGAGGAAGATCAGCGATATGTGGATGGGAAGAAAGGAAAACATGGGTCACGTAGTGATAATGATGGATATGGGGAGGGACGTGACAGGAATGATGTGGATAATAAGAAATGGAATGATGATGGATTAAAAAGACAGGGTAGAGGTGCTTTGAAGAGCCAAGAAGACTCTGGAAATCACGAAGTTATTTCACCAAAAAATCAAGACCTCCTTTCAAGCGAGCCTGATCGTCCTACAGATATGTCACGAGGCAAGTCAGATGACAAAGAATACAGTGTGCAAGGTTTGAAAGAAGAGAACGAAGGATTGAAGGCGAAAGTTGGTGCTCTGCAAGAAAATATCGAGCTTCATGAATGTTTTAAGAAAGAAGCAAGCGAGGAAGTCCAGCGATTGAGAAATACAAATAAAGATTTGAAAATGAAACTCGAGGGACTTAAAGATACACTGAACGATTATGAGGAACTAAAGGGTACATTGCAGGACTACGACGAACAATTGAAGGATTATGAGGTACAACTGAAAGATAACGAGGAAACGCTCAAGGAATATGAGGATATTTGTGCTGAATACGAAAGAACTTTACACAAATGTCGTCAGAGAATTATTGAGATCGAGAATGATCAAACATCATTGCCTGTTTTTCGTAAGCCCATAGATGGTCGGAACAAGCCCGAAGATAGACCTAACAAACTCGCAAATAATCATAACAAGCTAGCAGATGGTCAGAACAAGCCCGAAGATAGGCCTAACAAACTCGCAAATAATCGTGACAAGCTGGCAGATGGTCGGAACAAGCCGGAAGATAGACCTAACAAACTTGCAGATAATCATAACAAGCTGGCAGATGGTCGGAACAAGCCCGAAGATAGGCCTAACAAACTCGCAAATAATCGTGACAAGCTGGCAGATGGTCGGAACAAGCCGGAAGATAGACCTAACAAACTTGCAGATAATCATAACAAGCTGGCAGATGGTCGGAACAAGCCCGAAGATAGGCCTAACAAACTCGCAAATAATCGTGACAAGCTGGCAGATGGTCGGAACAAGCCCGAAGATAGACCTAACAAACTCGCAAATAATCATAACAAGCTAGCAGATGGTCAGAACAAGCCCGAAGATAGGCCTAACAAACTCGCAAATAATCGTGACAAGCTGGCAGATGGTCGGAACAAGCCGGAAGATAGACCTAACAAACTTGCAGATAATCATAACAAGCTGGCAGATGGTCGGAACAAGCCCGAAGATAGGCCTAACAAACTCGCAAATAATCGTGACAAGCTGGCAGATGGTCGGAACAAGCCGGAAGATAGACCTAACAAACTTGCAGATAATCATAACAAGCTGGCAGATGGTCGGAACAAGCCCGAAGATAGGCCTAACAAACTCGCAAATAATCGTGACAAGCTGGCAGATGGTCGGAACAAGCCGGAAGATAGACCTAACAAACTTGCAGATAATCATAACAAGCTGGCAGATGGTCGGAACAAGCCCGAAGATAGGCCTAACAAACTCGCGGATGATCGTGACAAGCCCGTAAATAGGCCAAACAAGCTCACAGATAGTCGGAACAAGCTTGCAGATAGTCGTGACAAGCTCGCAAATAGTCGTGGCAACCTCGATGATAGTCGCAACAAGCTCCCAGATAGGCCTAACAAGCTTGCAAATGGTCGTGACAAGCTCGCGAATAATCGTGACAAGCTCGGTAATAGTCGTAACAAGCTCCCAGATAGGCCTAACAAGCTTGAAGATGGTCGTGACAAGCCCGAAGATCGTTGTGACAAGCACGCAGATAGACGTGAACATCCAGAAAGTGATTATAAAGGTCCTAAAGAAACAAAATATCAAGGAATAATGGATGATAACAGTGATAATAATGGATACGTGAGGTTACAAGACAAACCTCGTAATGAAATGGTAAGTAACAATGACATCATGTACTAAGATTGGCCAAATTTAGGGTCCCCTGTAACTCTATAAGCAATGTTTGTGAGATTTGCAAGTGATATAAAACACTGATCACTTTTATTTCAGAAAGCCGATCAGAATGCCGTTAGATAAACTAAACATTACATTTTCGCCTTTTAGATCGTGGACATTCTTGAGAATGAAAGAGCTAGATTAGAACAAGTTGTCAAAAGTTTGGAAGCGAAAATTCAACTTTTGGAAATAAAGATTTCTGAAACAACTCTACATAAGGTAAGTACTTCATCAAAGATATTTAACTGTCATGTGCTTATGCTAAAAATAACAACAGGTACTGTATTGCTTGTACGAGGATGGTTAATACCCTCGCCCTGTGTCGGCAGTATACTAAATTGAACTTTTGTCTTCTCAAGTAAAACATATTTTGATTTGAAGGCGAACACCGACTCTACTGCCAAGTTAAGTTCAGATTTGGAGAGAGTCCGCAGACAGAACAAATGCTTGGTCAATAAAGTGAAGACCTTTCAATCTCAGTTTCAGACAATCGTTGAGAAACTGCGAAAAAAGAAGAAAAAAGTAAGTATATACAATTCTGTGGAAACTATCGAAGTCCTTTGTTATTAGAGTTGGTTTGACATTTTTTGAGCTGGGACCGTCAATTATTTTTTTGTGGCTCACAATAAAGATGGTTTTTTAAATATTCTTTTATGTGCACATTCTTATGCAATTTCAATCAAAGACAAAACGCAGACGGCTTAAGTTGCACATAAAAGATTGAAACACATTTGTTTTATAAATGTGATTTCTGAGTACGTCTCACTAAGCACTATTATACAGCAGGTCAACGTGAAGTTATCAGAGTAAGAAAATCTTTCTTTTTACAAAGTTACAGCATAATTTCCTTTCTCCTAGAAGCATTAGTACTTCAAAACACCATCTTTCCCCTGAAGGGCTTGCTATAAAACCGTCTATTGTTATATCAATAACATTTCGTTCTTTCTGTAACAGATTGCAAACCTTAAAGATGAAAATCAGTCGTTGAAGTCCAATCATCAAAGGGAGATCAGTGACTTTCAGCGTAAACTGGAATACTCCAGTGAGGTTATCACTCGTTTACAACACGAGTCGAGCAGAGAGTCGAGTCATGTCTCTCGTCTTAAAGAAGAAATTTCAAATATCAGTAAAGTGATGAAGGATGAACGAGTTTATGAACAACGCATGATTAGAGCGCGGAGTATTGAGGAGATCAGAGATCTGGATCGAGATAAGGTTGATTTGGAACGGAAGTTGAATGATGTAAGGACGGCATTGGATGGCTACTCTGACAGACTCAAGACGAAGGTAATATTTCTATATTAGTTAATATATCTTTAATGATTATTTTATATTTAACAATTTTAAATTTGCTTTTTCACTTATTTGGTATTTCACAATTTCAAGTTTGCCTGTTCTTGAGACAATCATATTACTTTCTGGAGCGTTTTCCCGCCCATAAAACGCAATATTCATCAAGAGTTTCAAACATTGTTTCCACCCTCACAAACATTGTTTGAAAATTTCAATGCTTCCTCGAATCTTTGAAGAAAGCAATAAACGCAACCTCGTACACAGCCTATTTTCTCTTCTGCCTAGAGGCCGGCGTGGCATATAAATATGCATGCATTGAATAGGGATGACGGTGCCTATTTGCCAGAGGAATACATACATCTTATTGGCAGGTGACGTCATCCCTTGGGTATTTAAGAAACCACGATTGGAACTTTAGATCACCCCTGATGAAGACACTAGACTGGAGTGTCGAAACGTTGTGTCTTCAGTGATTAAAATTCGACTGGACTTTGTATTCATTTATTTAGACCAGAGTAGAGAGCGAAAGAACAAACTTTTTATTCTAAGTATTATTTTTAGATGTCTTATTCTCAAACAACGGGCAGTCAAGTTTCTTTAAATACGGAGACGACGTTGGTTCGAGACCTGCAGTTGTCCAGTACTTTGCAAGCCTTAGAAGACACTCAGCGAACATCTCGACATCAAAATGAAAGATTACAACACGAGAAATATGAACTGCAGACATTAATATCAAAACTTTGCAAGTCACAAGAGGAACTCAGGAACACTGAGGGATCTCGTACTTTTTATAAAGAACCCTTATCGTCACATTCTTCCTCGATGTCATCGCTATCTTCGTCTTCTGCGTCTTTACTTGGAAAAAGTGGACTGGGAAGCACTAAATTTTCAAGAACGTTTTCAATTTTTGATTGACTTTCATTTATAGAAATAATATATAGAGAATAATACATGGGTGCGCGGAAATACCAGATTTATTCCATTTGTCGAACATGAGATATCATGAATCTGGCATTTCCAAGCACCCATGTATTTTTCTGTTTATTATATAATATTTATCAGTGCTCGAAATATTTAACGCATTTTGAACTTTGGTTTTTTGGGGGTTTTTTCAATTCTTAAATTTTTAAAAAAAAAATTTTTTAAATCCTGAGAAATAAAATGGAAAAAATTGAGTGAAATTCATATCAGTCTATTTTACCTTCTTCGCTTTTTTATAGAGTCGTGGCTCTGTTCCTATTAGAAAAGAATAATGTTAATTCCAGAAGTGCTTACGTCACGTATTTTTAATAATTGCCCACAAAATATCTGTATGGCCCGTATATGTCATTTTATTTGTCCTGTTTTAGCATAAACAAACCTTTGTTTCATGCACCCGGAATGTCATTATGATGAAAAATTTTTTTCATCAGCCCAAAATTTTCTAAGTCAAATTTTGTTCGAAATTGGCTACGACAAGCTCAGCTCCAGTTGACTGAAGAATCCTGTTAGTATAGAATCTATAATAAAGTACGGATAAGGATTAATTTGCATATGGCTACCAGGTAGCTTGTACCATAGACAATCCAGAAGACATGTCTTCTGGATTGTCTATGCTTGTACTCAGAAAGTCGTATCAGAATGTGCTTTAAAATTCTCCTGATCCACAACTTTTTGCACCAATATCTGTTTGGAACATTTCTAAGTCGGTATTTTTTTCTATAAGCCCGGAATTTTCTAAGTCAAATTTTGTTCGAAATTGGCTATTAAAGAGGTAAAATACACTTTCTGAGTGTATATCCACACCATAGATATGATCCACACCGGGCAAGCTTGAAAAATACGCTTGGCCACGGCGGGAATCGAACCTACGATCTTTGGAATACTAGCCCAATGCTCTGCCAACGGAGCTACGAGGTCACGTCGGTACGAGGATGTGATATTTCGGAACTGAATCTAGTTCCTTCGATATCAATGCAATCTAGTAATCATGATTTTTCTGTGTTGGTTTTTCTGTGTTGGTTAAGGAGATTACATCCGCCATTTTACTTGGAATTACATTAGACCAACATTTGAAATGGGATAAGCAAATTAATACCATCTACAATATAATCAATTCTAGACTTTACCTGCTCAAACGTATACGTAGCTATCTCACTTTTCAATCCCGTATTCAATATTACGCACTAATCTACCCACACTTGCTATATTGTAGCACAGTCTGGGGCAATGCTAATAACGATCTAGTTACGTGCCTACTAAAACTACAGAAACGTGCAGCGAGACTAATTCTTGAGCAGTCAACTGAAGTGCCTTCAATTGTGCTTTTCCCGTAAACTCAACTGGTACCTATTTTTAATTTGATCAAAATGAGAAAAATATTATTGGTATTCAATACTTTAAAAACATCTTGGCCGCCGGATCTTCGTAAATTGTTTGTCTTTGTTCGCGACTCTCATCCAATTCCAACTAGATCGTCTATTATAGATTTAAAAGTTCCATCAGTTAAGACTACGCAAGCAAAATCCAAAATTTCCTTCAGTGGTGCAAGTTTATGTAATTCTTTACCTTCCGAATTAAAAGATATTGAAAATCACACAAGTTATTCCTATAAAAAAAGCTCAAAACCTACTTTATTCAATTGAATTATGAATTAGTAGATCACGTTAATAAATTCCCCTGCATCGATTGTAAGCATATTACTCATTGTCAATGTTACTCTCAATAGGATTTTCTTTATATATTACTATTAGATATCGAGGGCCATTGGGAAGAATACTATATTAAGTAATCAATGTAATCCCTGATTAAATAAAGTTTTATTATTATTATTATTATTATTATTATTATTATTAATGTACTCCTAATTCCATCGTTGACATCATTGTATATAGTGGTAAAGACTGAGGCCCTCATGAGTGAAAGTTGTGAAACGCTTGCAGGTAGGGTGAAATCCAAAAATACTACATCTAGTCAAGGGTGGGTTGACTACAAAATTTTTCTAGTTCGCTATAACTACAGCTACTCCAAAAATATGTAGTCAACTACAACTACTGCTACAAAATACAAAAATATAGCTTAAAACCCTAAATAAACGGCAATTTTCGATCCGTTCGCCCGAGAAAAAAACAGTCAAGTTAGGGAGCATTCATTTTTTAGCTGGGGGGTGGGCCGGAGGAATTTGGGGGTGGGTCAGCCAATTTTGATATGCTTCAACGGGGTGAGTCTTTTTATAGTTTTGGTATAAATGGAGTGGGTCATAAAAATAATCAGTGAAAAAGTCACCAATATAATTTTATAGAATTTGGAAATATTTGGATGAAGAATGATAAAAAGGTCCAGAAACTATCTCGTCATCTTTAACAAAGAAGCAAAATTCATTTGACGCTCTGTTCACACAGTCCATAGGAAGACATTTCCATGACGTTCGTCAATTGACCTCGTTTTTATCCGTTTTTGTGTGAAAACATGAATGAAAGAAAACGCAGGACCGTAGCATGATTTCAAAATCATGCATGGTTTCAAGGTCTGCATGCATTTCATCATGACCTTTATCAATTTTAAGCTTTATTAATTTTAAGCGGCTACATTATCCATGACAAACTGCAAAGAATGAAGATAGTACCCACAGTTTCCTGCAACTTATCCTAGTTATCCAATATATAGTTAATTAAATACGCCTACGCCCATTTAGTACTACCAAATTGTCAATTTCGACACACTAAAACGCTGTTTTCTGACCATCAGAATTCTGTCAAATCTTCCCCCAAAGTCCAGGAAATGGCATTTCAGAGACTCTAGATTTAAAAATTTCCTCGGGCCTTCGGCCCTTGCTTTCAGCCCCCCAATCAAAAAGAGCATCCTACGGCCCTGAAACGCTACGGAAACGACACCGTGTGGATTATTAATAGTTAGGATGAGGGGTCAAAAAATTTTTCAGTAAAAAAAATAGGGGGTCATAATTTTTTATCAACTTTTCTCTTGGGGGTTCCAAGTTTTAGCATGGAATTAGACATCAGTTCCTCCGGCCCACCCCCCCCAGCTAAAAAATGAATGCTCCCTTACTTCGCCGAAATGGTCTCGCGAGAATGTCTCGCAACACAAACGCGCGTGTCTGGAGGTAAAACACGCGCGGCTGGAGGTAAAATTTGGCTTCATCCAATCATAAGCCAATCCAATCTCGTTCCCCGAGCCTGCGATCCTCTGGAAGGAACGCGAGGGTCTGGGACAGCCTAGACCTAGGCCTTCTATTTTTATTTATATTTTTTTAATATTCAGCGCTTTTCACATGAAAAGACTGGGACTAGGTGATTTGGGGGCGGGGCGGAGGAAGGACACGAGCCTGACGCAAGCGAAAAATTAGAAGGCCTAGTGGATTTCCCAACAACAAGGCCAAAACTGCCCTGAAACTGCCCTGATTGCGAAATGCCCAATTGTTGCGTTCTCAAACAGAATTATTTGCAACTTAACAGCGAATTTAAACCGATACAGGTAAAATAAACTCATTTATAGTATAAACTTACTATTTTTATTTGTATACACGTCTAGAAAATCGGGGTTTTTATCATAAAGTTCGAAGCAACACTATTATTTAATATGTTGACAAGGTGTAGCGAAAGCACAAAATGAGTCAAAATATATACCAAAAGTAGAATCTTTCATGAAATTTTGTCTTATACACAACTACATTAATATATATTTTCTCAATTTTGGCAAGAAGCAGTCTTGTGTTTGTAAAATATACAAACACATATACAATTATAATTTATTAAATAAAACGGATACATATATTATTAGCCCGTACAGTACTGTATAAAACGTACATTGTTTACAAATGGTATATCCGTAATACTTGAACAATAATTTCAAAATCCTCATTCCCGATTCGCAAATATAGTTATTCAAAGCAAAACAGTAGATTGTCTTGCGAATAAAAGAATTATTATTTTGTGCTTTCGCTTCACCTTGTCAACATAATAATAGTGTTGCTTCAAACTTTATGATAAAAACCCCGATTTTCTAGACGTGTATACAAATAAAAATAGTAAGTTTATACTATAAATGAGTTTATTTTACTTGTATCGGTTTAAATTCGCTGTTAAGTTGCAAATAATTCTGTTTGAGAACGCAATAATTGGGCATTTCGCAACCAGGGCAGTTTCAGGGCAGTTTTGG